TCATCAAATAGGAGGATTGCTACACAAATGCCAGCATCCTTCCTGAAGCCAATGTTACCAGCACTAAGTTGGTGATCCTCAAGCATCAACTTTGCCGGACCGGACATTGTGTGCAGATGCCTGACTTGCAATTCCCAAAACAAATGCTCTACTTCCAGCTGAGATCTTGTGGCAGCCAGAAAAAATGCTACAAGGACACACTGAAGGAATACCTTAAGAAAACAGATGCTGACATTAAGAGCTGGGAGGAGCTGGCAGCTGACTCCAATGTCGTTGTGATTTCAACCAAGTGGCAGCCTGCTTCAAAGTAAGGTGTCCTGCCCTCGAAGCAGAGAAGAGAGAGCAGAGGAAGGAAAAGAAGAGTAATCCTAGCCTACAGCCTACTTTCCTCTGTGAAAAGACCTGCCAGTTCTGCAGACTCAAGGACTGGACTCTCAAGTCAGCTCAAGACCCATCAATGAACTTTGGTAGAGATCATCCTCAAATTGAAGGATTGTCTCTGCTGCCAACTATCCCATACCAACCTGGTTGCTCTAGACCAAGAACAGGTCAGGGTTGCGAGTTTCCAGACAATCATAGCCAATTCCCCATGGCCAAAGCAGCTCTCATTTGGTGCTGTAGGGCTAAGGTGAGCCTGGCATACAGCTGCAGGAACGTAGTCTTCCACATCCAAACCCTGGAGATACTGCAGATCATCCCAAATTTCCACCTTGGTCCAGCCACTCCACTCAGTGCTCACTGTATGAGCCCCAACGTGACTTTCCATTCATTATATGTAGTATCTCAGGGATTACCTGCACTCAGTGCTCATTGTACGAGCCCCAACATGACTTTCCATTATATGTAGTATCTCAGGGATTACCTGGAGCATCTCTCCGCTTCATTCTCCATCATCCACTCATCTTCAGTATCACCACTGTATGTCCAGCTGTTATTTGCAGCTACAGTAGACAACAGAAGGGTGGTGTTGCATGGAGTTTTTATGGTTTTGGTCATAAGCTTGCAAAATGGCATAGAAAGAAACACAAATTATGGGATGGAGCAGAAGGATTTGTGGGACTTGGGTCCCAAACTCCCATCATTCCAGGAGAGGAGTGACAGCGCTTTACCATACCCAGGGGCTGCCCTGCAACACACAGCTAAATGTTTCCCAAAATGTCGAGCACCAGACAACACTGTCAGGGACATGGGAATCCCTATCCACAGGGTCACGCGATCTCTTGTTGATACAGCCAACTGCTGTGCGGAAACACTGCACAAGCAAAGGCAAACCACTGTGAACGCCCTCTAACCAACTGCTACATCAAGAGAAATCTCCTGGCAGAATTTCTACCGGTAAAACTTTCTAGAGGAAACAAGAAGGGAGCATAAAAATCAATGCCATTTTAAAGGCTATTTTATTTAAATCAATTGCTGCTTATATTTTTTCTTTTGAAACACAAATCTGTTTAAAACAATATTTGAAATTATGTTTGTCAAGGCCATCTGGACTCGTAGTAGAGAGGCTATTTTTTATTAGGCCAACAAGATTTTTGCAAAGAAATTCATTCCATATTCTATTAAAATCTCTAATAAGCAATAATAAGCTTTTATTATTTTTTCAAAGGCAAGGCATTCTTTGTCAGGTTTCTGGCATAATTTCTAGACCATCATGGCTACAACTACACTCTTATACTACTGCATGCAGGTTAGATTAATTTAATCTCCCACTGATTTCAATGAGAAGGAGGCACTGAATCTGCTCAGCCAGTTTTGAACATCACAATAAGGACCAATTGTGGGCACTTGAAAATACGGTCCACAGTAACCAAGAAACAGTCTGTCATTTCACTAACTATAACTGACATTTTACGTATTAAAATATGCTTTAATAAGCTGGCTTTGCCCCTTACAAAGTTAACACATTTAAAGTATTTGTATTTAATGAATAAAGAACAAGTTGAAATGCTTTGTGTGTTTTATTTGAGTCCCAAATTGCATCCAAATACGGCTTAACTCAATTTCTGCGTATAAAAATAGCTAGTAAATAATGCTTCATTCACCAATTGCTGACACAATAAAAATGTAAAACTTGAGCATCAGCATAACTTGATGTTGTTATCTAATTGCTTAAATAAATACGTTCAGTTGTTGCGCCTCCTCCTAATTAGCAAAAAAGAAAAAAATGTATGACATTTGGTATAAAGACTGAACATGGCTGCAAATCAACAGACCTCAAAAGGTATGCCAACTCTTGAAAATGAAGCTTTCTTTAGAAGGATAGCTAAAAACACAAATGCAAAAACCAGATTAAAATCAATAATTTAAAGCAAGGCTTCTTAATCATAATTAAATCATGATGAAAGCCAGTGATTTAAATCACTGGATATAAGTCAATCGGTGAGTAGGCCTTCTCTTTTCCTATGGCAGGAAATAAAAACTGGATGTTTTTTGTGTGAGTGCTAGTTTCTAGGCTAGTTTATGAGCAAATTACAAAGTCAGACGCCCGCCTAGCAGAGATCAGGAGTGTTTCTTCTAGCTCTGATCCTTGTGAAGGATGCTGTTCCTCTCACTAAGGAAACCTGGTACCTAAATTAAAAAAAAAAAAAAAGGATCAAGCCCAACACCTTAAATATGGGTTCTCTTTATGCTACATTATCGACCGCTCGATGACAGGGGATGTGCTGGCACATGATAAAACATAATTTGCTCTTGCAGTTGAGATGGGTTGTATTTTAACTTTCTGAGCCTGGCTGACTGCCATGACTTTTATGTAGAAATTGTTTTGGTGGGGTGGTGCAGGCAACTACCCTGGAGATCTTCAAAAGGAAACTGGATGCACACCTTGCTGGAGGTTATTTGACAGTCTTTCCTGCCCAGAGCAGTGGGGCTGGACCCAATGATCTCACGAGGTCCCTTCCAGCCGTAAACTTCTGTGAATCTGTGAATAATAATAATTCTTAGAAATCGTCTAATGATCTGGGAGACTTTTTTAAAGCCTAGCATTGCCCACATGACCCTCACTGCAAGGTCTAAGTCCCTTGGTACTGCATAAACTGGACTTGGGTCGAACAGCTGGCGATAAAGGGCAATCGGATGAAGCAGGGGTCCCGTCCTGGTGCTAGTCTGTACTGATTCTGAAGAGAAAGCTGGTCTGCTGCGTGGTGGCACGTGCCTGTGGCCTTTGCTGAAGGAAAATGAAGCAGCAGGCTCAGTTACCACAGGGAGGGAAGTGGTGGCCTTAGGACTGTCGGGCCCCTGGGCAAGAGAGTCATTTGGGGCTTAATTTGGATGACCTATAAGCAAGTCGGACATTCTCGATTTCGATTCCACTTTGCCCTATCCACGAAACTTATTCATAAGTTGAAAAAAGAACAAACTTTTTTTAGTAACTTCACCCCCCACCCAAAAAATTGTTGCAAAATTTTGGGGCCCCCTAAAGTGCAGGGTCCCAGGCAGTTGCCTGGTTTGCCCTCCCCTAAAGCCGCTACTGGGGAGGACTCCCAGCCACCCCGACTCAGGTCTGTGCGGCTGAGTGAAGCAAACCCCCTGGAGCTTCGTCCAGCCGGAAGGGGGAGTCCCTCTCACCTCTAGCCCCCAGCTGAGAAACTCATTGCCACCAGATCAGCTGCCACAGTACTGCCAGCTCTCGGGATCTTGGGTGGTGTTCTTAGGCTAGGAACAGTTGGATTTTCCCCCAGGACAAAGCCTTTTGTTCTGGGATCCTACGGACCTACCAGCCCATTGTCCTTCCCCCTCCCCCAAGTATATGTAGCTAAAAACAAGAGC